TACGCTTAGAATCATACCCCTGCGAGTGGATGAAAACCATAAATTCAATCCACCGTATATCAAACGGGTCCGTTATCCATCCAGCGTTTGGTGAAGCGCTGGGTATCAGGAAGGCACCTTCTGCAGGGGCGGGGGGTCGCCTGCAGCCCCCTCCCCCGACACCTGCATGGCCAGCAACCCCGCCCGGCACCTTAGAGGAGATGCATGTCAGTTCACGCCCCTTCCTGCAGCTCCTGAGCGCTGGGCAAAAGGGAAACAGAGAAAGGGCACCGGGACAGGCATCGCGATCCCGCAAGAACTGAGGAAGCTTCCCGACCCCTGACTTGCTCTCAGGGGAGGAGAAGGTTCTGGTGGAAATAAGAAGTGTAAGAAGCGCTAGATGCAAAAAACTGGGGCAAGGAACACGTGGAAGAGAAGCAAAGGTGAGCCGGTGGTAGGGTCGTCTCCAGAAGGCTTCGAGGCCGGCTCGAACGCATCAGAGCTCAGTTATCGGCTTGGTGTGAACTTAGCTTTGCTCGGCAAAAGCAGAGGAGTGCCCTGGGAGGTTGAGTGGTGCACAGGGCTGTGGGCAGATGCACGCCCTCCCATCTGTGCCATAACGGGTCACCAGGGGAATCCAGGTGTATCCTCTCTAAAGTCCCAGCTAAGGCCCTAAAGCCCAGCCCTGCTGGCCACAGAGGGCAGGGTGTTTAGCGAGCTCCAAACGCTCATTTGTTCGTGGATGCTCTTATCCCAATTAAAGTCATTCAAAACTTTTGAAGTTCATGAGTCATTTGCTTCAAATATCTTTAAATTAAGGACGGATTCACTTCCCTGGTAGCAAATACCCAGCAAGTTAATTAAAAGGGGCTCAGCATTTAAACCGCCATCAAGCCTTAAAGGGGAGAGGAGCTGTCACAGCTGCTCCTAACTCCCTTCCACCTCTATCCCAGCATTTTGAAAATATTTCCCCACATGAGACGTGCTCCCAAGGTTGCTGTGCTGCTCAGCTCAGCTGACCATCAGTGTGAGAGAAGAGGACACCAGTCTGTCCCTCCTGCTTGCAGTGGGACACACCTAAAGGACACTGAAGGCCCCCTGGTGACAAAGACAAAGCAACTTGGAAATCATCCTTGGAAACGAACTGAGTGCATCCCAATGTAAAAATTACCAGGCAGGATGGGGATGACCTTGGAGCCCTCCTCAAGCTGCTGGGTGTCATGAATACATGATTGATCCAAATGGGAACCCACCTTGAATGATCAACAGAGACCCAACAGGGCTTCATAGCCCCTCCTCAGTGGCGTACCTTCGAAAGCTAGGAACATGGACAGTTGAGGAAAGCATCAGAGGTACCTGAGCAGGCTGCAGAATCTCAGGGTCCAGGGGCAAGAGGGAAAGTCTAAGAACATTGGGTCCCAGAAATCTTTACTGAGCACTAGCTGTATGCCACGCACCCACAGCCTAGGAGATCCGCAGTGGGCAAACACAATAACTGAAATCAGCTGCCTTGAATTCCCCACAGCTCCCTTTACGAGTTTTAAGATTAAAGCCCAGGAAATGACTTTGTGTTTTTCTCCCAGGAGACTTTGTGATTCCACACTCAGAACATGACCAGCAAGAGAGCTGTCACAGGAAGATGGTGCTTCACTGTGGGGAGTCCTCTTCTCTCGACCTCGAGTGAACTCCTGTCTCATCTGACACTCACCCTCTGCCAGCACCATGTGAGGCTGGAGCTCAATGCCTCAGTGAACCTGAGCCAGGTGATTTTCCATCCCAAGTAGTTCCTAGCTAGTGCCACCTATACCTCAGCAAAGAGCACCAAGGTCAGGGATGAGGATGTGGGACGTCATCAGATGATCTCATCAAATGACCTCATCAAATGACCCCACGATGGATGAGGAAATGTAGCAGCTGCTAGTGGTAGCAAATCATCACAAGGACAACAATCATTATTATCATCACTATCACCGTCATCACCATCATCACCACTATCATCATCACCATCACCATCATCACCTTCATCGCCAGCACCATCACCATCATCATCCCCATCATCATCATCATCTCCATCACTATCATCACCATGATCACCACCACCATTAGCATCATCATCACCACCATTATCATCACCATCAACACCATCATCACTACTATCATCACATCAACATAAGCATCAGCATCATTACCCACCATCATCACCATCATCATCACCACCATCATCACCAGCACCATCACTATCATCACCATCATCGCCAGCACCATCATCACCAGTACCATCACCATCATCATCGTCACCATCAACATCACCACCATCAACACCATCACCACCATCACCATCAACACCATCACCATCAACACCATCAACACCATCATTATTACTACCATCATCATCACCGTATTAACCGCAGCAAACATGTAATGAACAGCAGTTATGTACTAGGCATTGACCCCTGGTCCATACTATCTCACTTACTCTTTGCAACATTATAAGGTGGTTAATTATGTAATTCCCACTGAGGAACAGAGAAGATAAGAAAGTTGCCTGAGTTCACAAAGCTAATACAAGATGAAGTCAGGGATTTGAAGGCAGACACTCTTACCACTATACTAAAACTAGGAGAGACTTCCCAGTCACTTCATTTATGGGGTGGTCTCTAAGTTCTAACTTTCCTGGTGGAGAAAATGAAGCCAAGAGAAAAGAGAACTTCCCAGGGTCACACAGCCACGTGCAGCAGAGCCCAGATCTGCAGGCAATCTGTGGCTTAGAAGTGTGTATGGCACACCCAGCCTCCTGGACCACCGCTCTGGGATCCCCAAGACCACCCTTGCAGCTTTAATCCTATCTGAGAAGGGTGAGGAGTAGTTGTGCACCACAAGGAGTCGGGAGCCCAGGTCTATGTGTTGTGACAGCCAGGACAAGGAGAATTTACGGGGCTCCCATCAGGGCTCTCGGTGACTTGGGTCGCTTTTGTGGGATCAGCTGGGCTGTGATGGACCCAGTTAGAGGAGTCATCTCAGCACTTCCTGTCTTGCCTTGCCTTGGCCTGGATGCTGAGGGCCGCTGGCGTCCCTTCTCAGCATCCGGCATCACTTCCCAGAATTAGCATTTCTCTGCACTGAAAGCAAACATGCGTGTTCCCCCCCCCTTTAAATTTGTTTTGTTAAACAAATTAATCTAGCACCAGATTATATTATGAAGAACCATAAATCTTTTCCAAGATAAGCATCTGTCGAGTTGGATTAGCAACCTCCAATGTACTGTGAATTAATTTGCTGAGCCTTCTAATGCCGTCCCGAACATTTAACTTTAGTAATAACAAATGTAATTTGGAATAAATGGGAACTTGTTTTCTCGTCCGTGCCTATACAGTAAGTGACGTGTGTAGAGGGGATGACAGTAAACGAATGTAGCACTAAATTCTATTATGATGATGGCTTGTGAGTACATTGAGGTAAAGACAAATGCTTCCGTAAACTGCTCTCGGGCATCCGGCACAGACGTGGTGGGCTGCAGGCCATGTGTGCCCTGGTCCTGTACAAAGGCTGCCTGGGAGACTGCCCGCGACCGCCTGCAGACCTTCTCCCGCCGTGCTCCGAGCTCACAGCCTCCATCCCTGGGCCTGGCCCCGGCCCCTGGCTTTGGGATGAGGCTGGGTTTGCTTTCACAGATACGCTGCTCTCTAGGGAAGAACTGCTCGGAATATACAATCTGCAGTTCTCTCGTCCAGGTGAAGGAAGGAAGTAGGTCATGGAATGAAAGCCGCTCACTCTCTGAAAACCTGTCCAACTCCCGACCACGGCCAGACGCAGCCTCGGGCGGACGCAGCCTTCAGGAAGACCTGTGTTGCCGAGAGACCCAGGGGAGCAATTCTTGTCTGTCCAGGGTCATGAAAGGGGCCCCTCGGGGCCTGCAGAGCCCAAGGCCTTAGGATGCAGAGAAGCAGATAAATGGCACGGAGGAGGCCACGTGGCCCCCGCACCACTTCGTGTGGACACCCCGGACTACGCATCCTGTTTTAAGATCTGGCCGATACTGTGGCCCTTCTGGGATGTGCATGCCCAGATCTGATCTGTGAACATCCTGGTCCTGGGGGGCGTGGGGTCATGGCCTGTTCACAGAGGCACAGGGAGCCAGAGGCGGCTGGAGCACAAGGCTCCCGGACTCCGCGTGCGCCCTCAGCCAGCTGTGATGCTGGGGACGTGCCTGTGGCCGGCCCTGAAGGGACGAGCTGGGGCCTGGGAGGTTTTCAAGGGCCACTCCTTTAGAAGCAACTGGGCAAGGAGGTGGAGGAGAAAAAAATATAAAGCTACTTTGCAGTGGATGCTTCAAGGTAACCGTCCGGAGGCACCCGGAGCCAGGGGTGGAGGGACGAGAGCCTTTCGTTCTGACCCCCATCCTCCAAACACCTGTGATGCCGTCTCCGGGCAAGACACTCCCCAAGCCCTACTCAGTCTGCAGAGCCTCAGCCGGCAGCATGGGAAGTTCTCCCTTCTACCCGCCCGCAATCTCTTCTGCTGCTTGACGCGATCCCTAATTCTGGGCCAACGTGGCAGTCACCCTTCCACGGGCCACGGCCTGGAAGGTTTTTGGAGACTCCACCTGGGCCTTAATTCCACCAGCAGGCATGTCCGCATCTCCCTCCCAGGCTGGCCCGGAGTACCATTTGGGAAGAGGTGGCCCTGTGCCTGGTGGGGTCCGGACGCCTGTGACACAGGCAAGGTGGGCACAGCATCCCCTTCTAGGCCACCATTGAGGAGACATTTCCCTTCTTCCAGCCAGAAGGGTCTGGCTAGAGCACAACCTATATTTGCCAGGACCCAAAGCCCATGGATACATGTGCCGCCTCGGCCCCCAAGACCACGGCCCAACGGTTTGCTTTTTGCTGTTGCCGTAGCCGCTGAGAAACGGGGAGTCCCGCCAAGCACCGTCACCAGGCACAATGTGGCACCCTTCACGAGCCCCTCCCCAGAGTGTCCTCCCCCAAACCGAACCCCAAACAGAAAAGAGGTGGGTGTACCTGAGGTCTCCCCCAGGATCCGCGGGGGCTTGCCGTCTTCGCCGTCGTCTTTGCTGGGACTGGTGGAAGGCTCTGTTGTGCTAACCCCAACCGGGATCCTATTCCTGGGGCCCAGGGGTTCCGTGACCCCCTTAGTCTGCAGTGTGGTGGAGGTGGCCGTGGTGGCTGTGGTGGTGGTGGTGGCGGTGGCCACCGTTGTCTTCCGTGTCTGTGAGATGGAGGCCGTGGTGGGGCCGTAAAGCCCTGGGAATGTGTTGGATTCCGGGGCCTCCTCCTCCCCCGTGGGCCCCCAGGCGATGAACTCCGTCTCCGTGGTGGGCCTGCTGCCCCGGAAATCAAAACCGCTGAAGCCGGCCCCCTGCAGGTGCCTCTTCTCCCTCCGCAGGAGGGCCTGCGGGTCCGTGGTGGCCCCGCTACCCGCCGCGGGGGACGGGGACGAGGAGGAGGAGCCCAGGGAAGGGCTGGATTTGGCAGCGGCTGGGGGCTTGGCGAGTCCCCCTCTGGGCACCAGGGCGGCCACCTGGTCCCTGGGTCTGTGTGCCCGTTTGGCGCGTGGACTCGGCACCTGCCCGTGGCTGCGCTCCACGCGGGCCGGGCGCGGGCTCCACACGGGCACGGAGAGGCGTGCCGCCTGTCCGCTCTTCAAACTCCACAGCCGTGGCGGCCGCTGCGGCGGCCGGGGCAGGAGCCGGAAGTCGGGGCCCGGGCCCAGGGCCGCACAGGAGGGCAGATCCATGGCGAGCTGGAACACGGCTATGAGTATCCAAGCACGGCCTCCTCGGGAGCGGCCCGGCCAGCGGACGCACATGGAACTGCGTGGAAAAGAGAAAGCAGGGTCAGGGGGGCCCTGGGGGCGGTGCCGGCAGTCCCCCCATCCCCGCCGGGACACCGAAGCGCCCTTCTGGTAAGGAGCGCCAACCCTCACCTGAGAGGCGCAGCCGGAGCCCTGCATGAGCTGACTTCACAGCCCTGCGGCCGGCCGGGGGAGGTGGGGGCTCCTGCTCATCAGCACCGCAGCAGCCCCGTTCCCGCGCCCTGCGCCGCCAGTCTCTTCCCAGGAGCGTGCGACGCACATGACTGCTTGACGTGACACGGGACGGAAACTGGGTCTCAAAACCCCCAACTCAACCGACAAGATGATCTCAAACCCCTTCTGTTCCCCACTCAGCTTCGGCCCAGAGTGAGACAGACACACGTCGAGGATGTGCGGTAACAGGGGGGCGAGGCGGGAGACTCAGGCTACCCCTCGGGTCCAGGGCTCCATGTCACAGAAGTTATGGACCCAAGTCTCGGCGCTCACAACCTCCCCTTCCTGAGGCCTGGAGGGACGGGGTCCCGCCGGACTTCACGGGGGGGGTACGGAGGTCGGGCATCTCCCGAGCCCCACCCAGGCTGTAGTGGGCAAACCCTCCCCCTTCCCAGGCACACGTGCGAGTCTCAAAGCAGGCTGTGGCCTTGGGCGCTACACGCTGGAGCACTTCTGACTTGGGGCCTCCTCTGGGATTTGTTCAGGAAAATGAGATCTGCTGTGGGTGAGCGGGAAGTCTGCCGGCGCGCCAGCCCGGCCCGAGTGCTGCTCTGTTGGCACTCTGGCTCCCCTATTTCCCTGCAGCGCAGGTGCCCTTTGAAGCCCCACAGTCCACCTCCTTGGCTCAGGCACGGCTGGGGGAAGGGCAAAGCCCACGCGACCGGGGGAAGACACGCCGGTGCGTGCACGGGGCGTCACGTGCGCCCTGAGAGCACACTGGCAGCCACGTGGAGGGCTGGGCTTAGGGGACCCGGGCCCACACTCCTTCTCCCACCAGCTTAGGTAACAGAGCACTGGGTACAGACACTGTTCGGAGCCGGCCCTCGTCACCGGCGTCACGTCTGAAAATTGACACAGATCCAGGACGTTAGCGATGGCTGTGGGCGGGGGCGGGTGGGGGTGTTTGGTGCGCGGAGCTGCCAGCCTGGAAAGCTGCTCAAGACCAGCCCCGCAGAATACAAGGCAGTTTTCTTTATGAGGTTCGCGTGACTTTAAAAGGGAAGAAATCAGTGAGTGAGCAGCGTGTGGTGTGTGAGTGAGTCATGTGTGCATGCGTGCACGGGAGTGTGTCTCGGGACCGCAGGCCAGCGTGGGTGACTGCTGACGTGTGGCGGTGCACCAGTGCCTGTGAAAGACCAAATGTAGAGTGGGTGTGAGTGTGTCAGCAAGTGTGTAAGATCAAGAGTCCACATGGGGTGTGTGTGTCAGTGGGTGTGCAAGAGTGTAAGTCTGTGGGGGTGCCTGTGTGCCCATCACATATACGTGTGTGTGCATATGCGGGTGTGGCTGAGCGTGAGGTCTGATGTTGGTGCACACATGTGTGTCAGTGACTGTGCAAGACTGTGAGTCTGCTGTGAGGTGGTCTGTGTGCCCATCTGTCGTATATGTGCATGTGTACCTGTGTGGGTGTGGCCCAGTGTAGGGTTCATGTCAGTGAGTGTAACTGTGTCATTGAGTGTGCAAAAGCATGGGTCCACTGGGGGTGGCTGTGGGCCCATTTTTCACATGTGTGTGTGCCTGTGTGGGTGTGGCCCAGCATGGGGTCCATGTCAGTGAGCATGTATAAATGTGTCATTGAGTGTACAAGAGTGGGAGTCCGTGGGGGGGTTTGTGTACCCATCTGTCGTGGATGCGTACGCATGTGTGCACGCAGCCGAGTGTGGGGTCTGCATGTCACTGTGTGTGTGAGTGTGCACAAGTGTGAGTCGTGGGGGGTCATCGGTGTGCCCATCCATCGTAGATGCACACGCATATGTGCCTGCAGCTAAGTGTGGGGTCTGCGCGTGTGTGCGTGTGTCTGTGTGCGAGCCCCCCCTCGTTCTTCACTGAGCCCCGTGTACCCGGGGTTGCATCTTCCTCGGGGGGTACTCAGGCACGTGCCGCTCCCTGCCTGTCCTCGGGATGTGGAAAGGAAGAAACTTGTATTAATGAGCGCTAATTACCAAAAAGGACTAATCCCCAAATAAAAAGGGCCCAGTTCTTTAATCAGAATGAAAGTGCTTTGCTGCAGAAATTAGGAATCGCTCATTATGCTAATGCCTCTGCACTGAGCTCCTGCCGGTGTACAATTTCTCTGCACAGCCCGCCAAGCTCCATGCAGGGACCAGGGCCTCCGTCACCGCACACAGAGATTTAGGTCAGTGTGAAACATCCCGTGCACACGGTAAGCACAGCTTCTATGGCCACAGGTGCCTCAGGGAGGATGGACGATTTAGACCCCCAGGTTCTCCCACCACTCTGCATATTTGGATGGGAGTCCAGCGCCAGAGCAGTGCCTTACCCCAGAAGGCCCCACCAGGCCCCACGAGGTCCTACCAGGCAATGTCAGGCCCCACCAGGCCCCAGCAGTCCCTGCAAGGTCACTGGGGAACCTCAGGCCTCAGCAGATCCCACCAGGTCCCAGCAGGTCCCACCAGGCCCCACCAGGAAACACCAGACCCCATCAAGCCCCACCAGGAAACACCAGGAAACACCAGGTCCTACCAGGCCCCACCAGGCCCCGTCAGGCCCCACCAGGAAACACCAGGAAACACCAGGTCCTGCCAGGCCCCGCCAGACCCCACCAGGCCCCGTCAGGCCCCACCAGGAAACACCAGGAAACACCAGGTCCTGCCAGGCCCCGCCAGACCCCACCAGGCCCCATCAGGCCCCACCAGGAAATACCAGGAAACACCAGGTCCTACCAGGCCCCACCAGGACCCACCAGGCCCCATCAGGCCCCATTAGGAAACACCAGGCCCCACCAGGCCACACCAGGCTCCATGAGGCCCCACAAGGTCACCAGGCAACCTCAGGCCCCGCCAGATTCTTCTAGGTCGCACCAGGCCCCACCAGGAACTAGGTCCCACAATATCATACCAGGCAACACCATGTCCCACCAGGACATACCAAGTCCCACCAGGCCCCATGAAGCCCCATGAGGTCAGGCAAACTCAGACCACAACAGGCCCCACCGGAAACACCAGGCAACACCAGGCCCCTCAGGCCCCATGAGGCAAGGCCCCACCAGACCTCAGCAGACACAACCAGGCCCGCATTGGCCCCATCAGGCCCCCAGGACGGAAAGCAGACCCAGATGAGCCGGCATGCCGTCAGCACCGGGGAGAAAACTCCCCGGGAGGTTAAAACCACAGCATCTCAGCCTGTGCTGCTCGCCTGCCCAGCAGAACTTCACACACAGGGTATTTCTGTCATTTCTCACCAGTCCGGGGCTGGAATTCGTTACCATAGAAACCCCCTCCTTTCCAGCCACCCGCTCTTACGCAGAAAAACCAACCGATCGCAAGAGCGGGAGTTTGCCTTGTTTCCCTTCGAGTCCGGTTTCTTCCCTCTTAAAGTGGCGGACGGTCCAGAGAGGGACTATGAGGAGCGCAGGGGACAAGTCAGCAGCCGGGACACGCCAGGCCAGTGTCGGGGGCAGAGAGAGCCCCTCCCGTAGGGGGTTCGGGGGGCCAATCCCGTGGCCTGCAGGGACCAGCGGTCCCTCTCTGGGGTCGAAGATCCCCAGCCTGGACCGTTGGGCTCCAGGGGTACACGCTCAGCACGTGTCAGGATGACGCTGCGTCCCGGTGTCCGGGGACCCGGCCATACGTGCAAGGACCACATGCGGGGCGATGTGGGACCTCTTGCTCCATCCTCCCAGCGGGCCCAGCCCCAGGAACGCTCTTCCCTCTGAGCCCGTCCAGCACGGGGGTGGGAGGCCTCAGTTCTGCCCACAGCCCTCTGGCCCCAGGAAGGCGCCGTGGCACCGTCAGTCCCACAGGGCTGGAGGCCCCTCTGAGGGTCAGGAGGGAGGCCCAGCGGCCATCAGCCCCACCGCTAGCTGTCAGCGTCACCACGGGACACACCAAGGAGGCCACAGTACAGTGCCGACGCCAAGTCCCCCGAGGGCATCCACGGGCCATGACCCCCCACTTCACACCCACGAGGACGACGACAAGCACAAAGCCAAGTCCAAGTGTCGGCACGGACGTGGGGAGACGGGAGCTCCGCCCAGGGTCGTGGGAATGTAAGAGGGTGTCGCCGCCGCACAGAACAGCTGAGCAGCTCCTCGAAGACTTAGTTCCCGCTGACCCCGATGTCCATTCGGGTGGACACCCAAGTCCACACAAAAACGTGAGCACGAATGTTCCCCGCAGCCCTCCTGGAGCAGCCGAGAGCCGAAGCCACCAGAGTCCATCAGGTGACCGGATGAGGACGACGCGCTCTGTCCCCGCAGGGGACCGTCCTCTGGCCTTTGAAAAGGAAAGCAGCAGCGACACACGCAGCCGGGTGGACGGAGCTTGGACGCAATCCGTGACGTAGAAGCTCCGTGCTGCCGAGACGCCCAGAACCTGGGGGCCCGCAGAGACCGAGAGTAGAGTCCCGGTTGCCGGGGGCTGGGGGAGGCGACTGCTGATGGTTATAGGGTTTCTCTTAGGTGGGACAGGGACCTTCTGGCATTGAGAGTGCTGACGGCTGCACGACCTTGGGAATACATTGAAACCACTGGAGCGGGGGTGACTTTGTGGGGGACATCGTAGCTCAAGAAGCTGATGCGTTCAAGGGCAGAGAGACCAGCCTGGGGGTGGGACGCGGCACGGAGTCCTGCTCTGGGCGCGGGTCCCGGCAGCGGGGACGAAGGAGACGGTGCCCAAGCTGGGGGCAGCGTCGGAGCTGCCAGCACGGGGCAGGGAGCACGCACAGGCTCCCTCAGGCTCGCACACGGTCCTCGCCCGGCCGGGGCAGGGGCTCGTCGCAGGTCGGAGCGCCCGGCTGCCCGCCCCCAGCCAGCGCAGGGCTGCG